ACCCAGTGGGCGGTGAATGACGGCGTTGAGGTAGAGCTTCATGTGCTCCTGGAAGTCTTGGTGGGCCCGATCGGTCCAGCGTTCAAGTGCGGGGATATTGTGTACATCTACTTCCTCAATGTAGTGGTTCATGTTCTCGATGAGGAGGATGTGGTAGTTCAGGATTTCCTTGTCTTCCGGATCACCCGCACCCGCAGTGGCACCCGGAGGTTGGCCGGGTGCTTCCTTGGCAATGAACTTGAGTGACTCCCACATCGCACGGTTGATGCGGTCGTACGCGTCATTGACGCTAACGCGAATGTCGCAGAAGGCGCCGGACGGGGATGATAGCATGGTTTCTACCGCATTGGAGAAGTTGGGGAACACCCGCATGAAGGAAATTACTCCCTTCCGCTTGTTCACCTTGACCTTGGTATCCTCAATACCTCGGATTTGCTCATCTACAAATCGGTTGAACAGTCCCATTAAGCGAGAATGGATTTTCTGCAGTGCATGAAGAATGAACTCTTGGTTCGTGTCATCAAAGTCATTCATGGCAGTCTCCAAGGCATGGAGAATACCGATTCCCTGGAGAGGATCAGCTTGCATCGCCCAGTCCACCATGCTCTGCATATCATTCGGCCAGAATGAGTAAATCTCATCCATAATCTGCTCGACTCTCTTTGCCATTCCCCGGTCAGGATCATGCGGTTGGTTGGCAGAGAAATCGGGACAAGTGCGGTTTTCAGGGATGACCGCAGACACCAGGTCAGGGAAATCGGCGGTGGCAAGAGAATTGAGATGGAAGAATTGGACGATGAAGTTCTGCTCCTGAGCCATCATATTCAATGTCTCCCGAAGAGTCCCAGCAAATGCTTCGGATGGCTCAGCCTTGCCTTGCTTCTTCGCGCCGCCCGAAGCCAGTCGAAGCCCAGCGGCAGCCCGCACCGTCTTGCCTCGTCGCACGGTCAGTTTCCGCGCAGCCATGGTGAGACCCTCGGCTTCTTTCTCTTTCTCTTGGTGTGTGAAGAGGAGTTCCTGCTCATCTCCCGTTGGTTTGCGCGCGGTCTGCTTCCAAGCCAGAGTATTATCGCGGAAGTCGGCCTGGTACGAAGGTTTGGACTGCTGCTCATAGAGGCCGACAAGGCTACGCCACTCTGCCATGCTAACCTCCTTAGAAAACAGCATCAGGGCATTGTACCGCCAGACCTCTTGACGGAAGTGTCCTCGTGCGGCACTGTCCAATTTCATCGCATCCTTAGCACCGCCGTTGGTCCAATCAACACGTTTTTGTTCTGCCATTTTGAAGGCAAGGGCCATGAACTGCTGCAGTCGGTTGAGGAACATGGTTGCAGTAGAGCGATACTCTTCCTTCTTTTGCTTGATCGCACGCATCTGGCCGATTTCTGTATCAGCATAGACACCGACACTTGCGTCGACTTGACGTTTCTTGTTTTGGCCAATATCAGAGTCGATCGTGAGCATGGCCTTGTACAACGTTGCTAGAGCGTTTTCAGTATCCTTCAACCCATCGGGGTTGCTCAAAGAGGCTTCCTTGAGGGGTCCCAGTTCGGATGAAGATATTGAGAGTGTCTTCAATAGTGTTTGGAGTTCGTTTTGCAGGAGCTTCTGATTTGCTGTTTGTACCTGCAGACCTTGACCTTGAGCTTCAATGTAGGCGACATCCTCATGAAGAGTCTGTGATGTAGTCTCGTTAGCCGACTAAAGATCAATCCCAATTTCGTAATGCCAAAACTTACGTTCAGTTCATGAGAATAAAGGGTTAAAAGACCATCTAGCTCATCACACTCCTCAATCGTCTTATCGATCAAGCTCGCAAGTTGTTCCACCTTTCCTTCTTGTTGTTCAAGGTTGCCAAGCCAGCTGGTGGCCTCGACACGGCCAATTTCACGGCGAACATCTGCTTCCAAATCCTCAATCTTCTGTTCATCGGCCAACCGTCCGTTCCAGCCCAAATCAGTGAGGATGTCATCGAAATCAATACCACGTCCGTCGAGAAGGGTGGGATCGATTCCAAGGGCCTGGCAATATTTCATAGTGTGGTCTTCACGGCGTCTGCGACGACGTCCTTGAGTTGCCGGGGACGGCGATCTTGAGCGATCTTCAACCTTTATAACAACATCAGAGAGGTTCTCCTGCGAGATCTCGGGAGTTTGAACAGGCGCAACTGCGATCTCCTCGGGTACTGGCTCTGTAATCTCGACGGTTGGTGTTTCCGGCTCTGCAACGGGCGCGGGGAGTTGTAGATCTTGTTCCGACTTTGTTACCACTGGACTCTGCGGGGGATCAGTTGCCGACCGGGAAAGGGACGGCGCTGGAACAACGCTGGTGATACCATCAGGACCAGCGGCATCGGCCTGTGACTTCTTCGCGGCTGCCAGCAGTCGCTCGCCAGCCCCACCAGCCCTGGGCTTGAAACCAGCATAAGCAGTTGCAGCCTTTTTCCAAGCGCCTGCAATGTCTTTGCCTTCCTTTTCTTGACCATAGGACCGAGCCCGGGGCGATGCGGCTCGAATTCGCCAGTTTCTTCAACCTGCTCCGGGGAAGCTTGAGAAGGCGGGTCCGCGGCAGGAACAGTTTCGATAGGGGTCTCGGGCTTTTCAGTGGAAGGCTGAATAGGCTCTGGTGAGGAAAGACTCGCCGCCATAATAACAGCAGGCTCTGAAGCCAGTCCCTCGATTGCCGGTGATGAAGATGGTTCCCGCGGCTGTGCGGAAGCTCCAGCCAACAAGGTATCTGATGCACTTTTCTCTTGAGGTAGGGAGGCCTGATTAAATGTAAATGCCTTCTCCCCGCCACCACGTTGGGGCGACTTTGGCCCAAAGCTGGGCGTGGGACGTGGTGCTGTGTCCCTACTGTCATTATTAGAAGAACCAGAAGTGGTAGGACGAAGCGCATCATTGCTGCGCATGAATTCTGGTGCCTTATTCTGGGCCGACTGGGTGACAAGAGGTGGGGGCTTGGGAGCAGAGGATGGGCGGAGTGACTCTGGAATACCGCCATAGCTGCTGGCTTGCGCTGCAGCAGTCAAATTATCAGCTCCCCTGGGCTCCGATTGCGTAACCGGGGGTTTTGCGTTTGGTGCGCTACGTTCGGCTGGACGTGGCGGCGGTTGCTGGTCCAGGGATGGCCCAGCAAGGAGCGACGGAGGAGGAGATTTGTGTAGGTCAAAGGGGGATGGTGCCGACCTGCCTTGTCCTGTAGATGGGCGAGAACCAGTCGATGGCCGAGATATCTGTTCATGGCTCTTTTGGGTGCGAAGTGTGGGGTCTTCGGAAGGCTTCCTTTTGACATCCCGAGGCACATCGCGACTGGCATCACGACCTCTGTATGAGGGTTGTAGCGAAGGAGGCATCGGGCTGTCCGATGTTGAAGAAATTGGACCTGGTCCCCTTGGCGGCGGAGCATTTGAAAGAGCGCCTGGCTGTGTCGGTGGTGCTGGCGGTCCTCTTGACGGTGGACCACTCGAAAGAGCACCTGGTTGTCCTGGTGGTGCTGGCGGTCCCCTTGACGGTGGACCATTTGAAGGCCCACCTGGTTGCGCTGGCTGTCCTGGTTGTGCCGGTTGTCCATGCCTTGCCAGAATTTGTCGCTCCTTGTCATCAAAACCAATGAGGTTGGGGACTTTTCCATTGGTGTATTTCCTGTAGATCTTGACCAGGCTCCCAATGAAGAACTCCTTTTCCTTAGAAGTCCTGGCATGCCAGTAATATGGTTTTCCAATTGTGACTGTGAATCCTACATTGCCCGCCCATTCTTTTTGTTGCTGCTCTCCTGGTGTTCTTGGCACAAAAGAGGCAAATGATTGAATTGCGCTCAAATCGTCGAGCATCCAAGTTTTGCCGATGGAGAAAGTCCCTTCATTGTTCTCTCGAGCTTTGTGTATGCGGACTCTACCTGACTTTCGAACCGATATGATAATGATACGGGGTTTCTTATTCTCCGGTGGCCCGTTTGGCGGGGAAGGGCTGGAGGGGTGCGCTGAATCCTCGGTGATGCGGACATGCGTTATATAGGATTCGAGCACTGTAAGCAAAAAGACGGGTTAGCAGAGATCGCGGACAAAACGATATTTCAGCGAAGCAAACGCGTTGCAATCCCATCTAGGCTCTGTACGTCACTTTCGCAATGTGTTGCAAAACACACATATTGACTGAACTTGGGTGGGTGGGCAAATTTGAGGAAGTATGTTGATAGTGTACGTACAGAGACCATCTTCGTCCTTTTTTGCGAAACAACTATGAATGATACGCTTCTTCTCATCCTCGAAGGCGGCTCCTCTTGTCATGGTGCTCGGGCTGGAGCCCGAATCAGATTGCAGATCTCCACGAGGTGGCAGCGGACCTGGCGGAGGCCCGCGGGGACGGTCTCGGCCATTCATTATGGTATCGAGGAACACAGAGCTCACGTGTGGGTAGCCGCGAGATCAAGGGGACATGGTCGGGAGGGTCGGGATCGGGCGACGCCACTACGCACCACGCGCGGAAGGAATTGGAATCCGTTAAGCGACAATGCGTTTGTGATACGGCGGAATATGACGAGCTATAAAGCAACAGACGTTGTGGGCCAGAGTAATGCAAGTGGCCAGCGCTGAAGTTCGAATTAGCTCATCAACGTGTCTCGGCGGAACCTTGGAAGGCGGAGAGCTTGGAGCGGAGTATCGAATTGATCCGGGGTTCCTCAGCTGTAAACAAACGTGCGGAATGTCAGAGATTAACATTGAACTGAGTGCAGGTCTTCTTTTATGACATTATCCACTAGAGTCTCCATATCTGACTTGCTTTTTGGTGTATTGACAAATAGAGGTGTTATCGCAGTGCATTGCGACATCCTTGACTTTGATCCTATTGGCCTTTAATTGCCAGCATAAAATTAGTCATCCCCCGGCCGTTGGGCTCCAGGTCCAGGCTCCAGCCCTGGAGGGGTAGAAACTGTCGATGTACCATATCTTCAAGTTACTACATACATCATATACGTCCAGTTAGCTTTCTCGAGTCGTCATGTCCTCTATTAAGATCAATTTCATCACCGGAAACAAGTACAAGCTTGTCGAAGCTAGAGCAATCCTGGGTGATACAGTGGAGCTTTCAAATCAACATATAGAGATGCCTGAAATCCAGGGTTCTCTTGAAGAAATTGCGCGAGACAAGTGTCGAAAAGCAGCTATAGCAGTATGCCAGTTTGAAACATTCCCTGCTAGCAGGGTACCACAAGGCTAAACGTGAATGTTTCTTTCTTTCTATAGGTCAATGGCCCTGTCTTGATAGAGGATAGTGCCCTTGAATTCAGGGCGTTCAAAGGTTTACCTGGGCCATATATGTGTGTACGATATCAATTGCTATTATTCGTCTTCTCTAATTCCTCCCAGAAGGTGTTTCTACTCTGCTCTAGGTGATGATGGCCTATGCAAACTACTCGCAGGTTTTGACGACAAAGCAGCCACGGCCGTATGCACATTTGCCTTCTCCACCGGCCCAGGATCTGAGCCGCTTCTTTTCCAGGGACGTACTGAAGGCAAGATCGTTGATAAAAGGGGAGAAGGTGGGTTTGGTATGTTTTCCAATCACCTATTGTATGTTTCTCGAGAGACAAGCCTAATATTTCTTCAGCTTTTGACCCTATCTTTGAAGTTGAGGGTCAAACCTATGCAGAAATGACTTTTGCATACAAGGTGAGTTGATCCAGAGAAGCATCCCGTGAATCTATTAGCCACTAATTTAAACAAACAGAATACGGTTTCTGAGAGGTTCAAAGCCCTGGAGAAATTGCAGGACTGGCTGAGAAGTACAGCATGACTGGACTATAATCAGACCTAAGCACTGTCATATGAGCTATGGAAGCATTGGAGCTACTCCATATTTGGTTCCACAATAAGAGCTATATGGATAGATAGTCAATATTGGAGATATTCATGGATGCATGTGATCTGCATTTAAATAGAGAAGCCCTAGGTACACTGCCCAGCTTTAATCATGAAGAGATACTATCGTCTGAATAATCGATTGCCATTTTGCTTTGCTTTGCTTTTGATTAGAGTTGAAAGGTACATGTAGTCCCTAAATTGAACAATTAGGCACATGTGTGCTAAAATAACAAACCTCGGAAGGGGAAAAAGGTCAGTCAAGGACAGCAACTGGGCAGATGAGGGCGGTGAAAGGTCCAATCAGCAAACGATTGCCGAAATAGCCGCGCGCTAACCACCGCCTCTCTCCACTAATCAACGCTCACCAACACTCACCAACCTTCGCCAATCACCGTGAAGCTGTTGGCTTACCGCCTTTTATATACTTTTTTTTTCTCCCTTTCTTTTTTGGTTCCTGGCAGATTATTTCTAAATAGCCTCTCCTTGCCCCAGGTTCTCTTCTTTTCGCTATCGTTGAAACGAACCGTTCAGTCACTATGGCAAAGGTTTCAAGCAAGAAGACTTCGGTCAAGAAGGTATGCTTGACTTCCTTTCGACTGACATGTCGATTGGCATCATCTACAAATAAGCCAGAGGATCAGACTGACAATGCCCTAATTAGACCGAGTCTTCCAAGACTACCAAGTCCATTCCCCCTCAGCTGATCGCCTCAGTTGCGGCTTTCCTGTCGGACAATTTCCCTGAGACCAGCACCGCCTTCACCAAGGAAGCGGCAAAGTCGAGCAAGAAGAGCGATGCGAAAAATGTTCCCTCTCTCTTGGAACTTTTCCAAGCCTCCGAGCAGGGATCCAGCGTTAAGAAGTCTGCTAGCTCCAGTTCTTCTTCTAGCTCAAGCAGCGACTCCGATAGCGACTCGGATGTTGAGATGGGCGACGCCGCTCGCTCGTCGTCGTCCTCTTCGTCTTCCTCTTCCAGCTCCGACAGCGATGCAGATGACGAGGATGATGATGAGACTCCTGCGGCTCCGGCCCCCGCCCCCGCTAAGAAGTCTGCTGGTGTGAAGCGCAAGGCCGAGTCCAGCAGCGAGTCCAGCAGCTCTTCCGACTCTGACTCGTCCTCTTCGTCCGAAGATGATAGCCCTAAGGCTAAGAAGGCCAAGACCTCTCCCACCCCTAAGGAGGCATCTTCCTCTTCGTCCTCATCCGACTCTTCGTCTTCTTCGGACTCGTCCAGCTCTGACTCCGATTCATCGTCGAGCTCCTCTTCGTCTTCCTCGTCTGACTCTTCATCTGATTCCTCCTCCGATTCCTCGTCTGACTCCTCTTCCGACTCCTCTTCTGACTCTTCCTCCGACTCCGACTCTTCTTCCGAGTCCGAGTCCGAGAAAGAATCTAAGAAGGCCCTGAAGAAGGCAAAGAAGACTCCTCTCCCCGAGTCCGACTCCTCTTCTGACTCCGAATCTTCCTCATCCGGCAGCAACACCGTCGCCCCTTCCCCAGCCGAGATCAAGCCCGTCAAGAAGGTTGAGGAGGTTGCGCAGACCACCTCTTCGAGCGCTAGCCCCGCTCCCGGAAACGGACCTGTTAAGAAGAAGCACACCGGAGCTCGCCCCACCCCTCTGGCTCTTCTGAGCGAATTGCCCCACAACCACCCCTCTAACGACTACATGTCGTACGCCTACGCAGACCGTGCCTGGAAGGATCTGTCCGTGACTCGCGGAAAGGGATTCACCAAGGAAAAGAACAAGAAGAAGCGTGGCTCTTACCGCGGCGGTCCCATCGACATCGCCCCCGGCACCACCTCTTACAAGTTCGAGGACTAAACGAGAACTCTTGATTTTGCGACACAGTCGTATTCACTAGTTCATAATATCAGGCTATCGTCAGCATCTAATCAAAACATTTGCTACCAAACCCACAAAGGACCCCCGAAACTGGGCTTTTTGTCTTGGATGTCGCTTTGCCGAAGGGAAGAATCGCTATCTTTTTGTTGCTGCAATCTTTGCAGTGCAACTCAGGTTCGTTGCAATGGATGAATATGGAGAGATAGGGCTCTCATATCCCGCATCATATTTTACCAATTTCACTCAGCACGGCGTACACGGAGCTATGGATAAGGTCATTAGACCCAACATTTGCCATAGAATTTTTTTTTGCTCATTAGCTTACATCAATCAAAAGTTTGGGATCCGTCCTTGACGGACTCTCGCAGTATTTGCAATCCCTTTTGAAGTAGGAAAGAGGCTAAGGACGTAGCCTACCAACACAAACGAACACCTTCTAGTCCGACCATCTATCAAAAATAGTGTAATCTACAAAAAAAAAAAAAAAAAATCAGAATGCAAAACTTACCCATTCCTTCTCCTCCAAGCCCCTGGCTCCTCCAAACTCTCCCACCTACAATCCCAACCCGTATGCGTCTCCGCCACATCCCCAGGCCCAAGATCCGCAAACGCGTGCTGATTCCTCAGCTTAGAAGTAGTAGCGAAATCATCCTCATCCGGACGCTCATATCCAGCCAAATTGAACGCCTCGGCGTTCCAGCGTGGTAAAATCCCGGAACCTGTATTCACACCCAGGTCCAGATTATATCTGTACCACTCTTTCTGCGGACCGGTTAGGTCATCCGTGGACGCAAAGTCGAGCTGGACGACCCCGTCCACGATGCCCGTGTAGACGGTTGGTGAGGAAGGCGAGGGCGAGGACATTGTGTAGATGGGGCCGCGATAGGGACCTCTTCGGCGGGTGCGGGCTGGAGGTGGGGTTTGTTGGGGGAATGTTGGGGGCGGTGGGTAGGAGAGGAATATGGAGAAGCCCTTTTTAGGACGGGGTTTTGCGCTTATTCTGGGTTTGCTGTTGGCTTTGGTGTTTGCTGTCGTTTGTGTGCTCTGTGATTCCGAGGCGGGTACTTGGGCGTCGAGGTAACTGTATGTGTTACACATGCGCAGATCGAAGATCTTTACTACGGCTTCGCCGCCGGCTCCGGCTAGGAAGCGCTCATGACCGAAGGCGTGGAGGCTGTAGATTGGGTTGAGGTCTGTGGCGTCTTTGTAGGAGACTTCGGAGGGACTTGGAGAGCGCAGATCGTGGAGTCGGACGGTGTGGTCGTCCCAGGCAGTTAGGAAGACTTCGCCTGCGGAGCCTGCGGAGTGATGTTTATTGAGGGGTTCAATGGCACCGATATTAACCTTGGATTTGAGGCTTGTGGACTCGGTGTCTAAAGAGCCGATTCCAATTTGTCGATATGCGGAGACGCCGTATGGGGTGATTTTTGAGATGGACAAGGAGTTTTCCACATTCCCGGTTCCGACTGCCACTAGTGACGAGGATAGCAGCTTAGAGTAGTTGTTTCGCGAGGAGCTTTCCGGAATAAGCCATGTGAATGGCTCTATTTTTTCTTTCTCAGTTTCGGTATGGTATAAAGCGATGGACCCATTTTCAAAATGAGCAGCCAGAGTAGAGTCTGTGCCACTGCTCAAATCAGTTTTATCGAGTCTGAGTCCGTGTGTAATATACTTCTGCTTGTACTCAAAGGTTGCTTCTTTGGGAGAGATGATAAGGTGAGCAATATCACCTCGAACCCGACCAAAGATCAGATGCTCCACGCTGGAATCATTGCTGTATTGATTTCCTGAGGACAAAAGATGCAGAGAACATATGTCATCATAGCTGCTAATATGATCAACATCATTGAAAACTAGCCAGTCTTCTTTCGAGCGAGCACCTGTTTGCTTGATCCTCATCACAAGCTGGTTGGCAGCACCCCAGGCAAGAACCTCTTTCCTATCAGCCCAACATTGGCCATTCCAGATTTCGTAAGAATCAATTGCAGGTCTGTACCCAAGAGTCGGATTGTCTTGGCGAATCACCTCGTGAGACCCGATTTTAGTCGCCGTTTCTGGTGGCACAACAAATCGTCCGATGATGGCTTTCCTGTCCAATGCCCGGGACCTGGAGGTCAAAGCTTGTGCAGCATCTTTCCAGAACGGCGGTGTTTCGATAGATGGGAACCTGCTTCGCACAAATGCTCGAAATATCCGAGAATTTTCAGCTGTAACAATGTCATGCAGTCGGTGACATGTCTGGGACAAATGGGCTAATGCATTGGCAGTTGGGAGATGTGTCGCGATTTGATATATGATCTCCGATGGGAGCTCGGAGAGCATCTTGAAAGTGTAAGCCTGATTGACAGGGACGTGAAAGGAACAATTCTTTTGTGTCTTCAGACTATCGCCATCGTGCTTTGTGTTCCGCCACTTTCGTGTGTTTTGATGTTCATTGAGTGTGCTGGAAAAGGAAATTCTGCAGAAACAGCTCCATTCGTCCAACGACAAGCAGATTACAGCCTCGATCTATCTTTTACCCCACAATTGTCGGTCGTGTGATGTTCATACATATTCATACATTATGTCGTAGGGCAGCAATTTTATACACAAATTGCCCCATGTGGGCACCAGTTGCCTTATGACGTAAGCACATGGCCTCGCTTGGCCAGTTCTGGAGGGTTGGCCTCCTTTTTTTGTACCAAAGAAGGTATGAAGTAGACTTTGAAGCTATAAATTAGAGTAAAAGACCATAATAGAGTGTATAGTAGTTTTCAATTCCAAATAAAAAGTACCTATATGCATCTAGAGGCACTGATAGCAGTCCATTACTCTTATCGCCTTATCTCTTTCGCGGGGAAGCACAGTCGCCCGAGGTCGTTGGAGAAGCCCTGGAGTTTCCCTATCGAAACCTACGATGTAGGTACTCCATATGCTCGCATTGGCCACTTGGCACAATCTTCTATTTTCATTACCTAAATGTTCACTGTCGGCAAAGACAAAACGAATCAGAGTGAGTGGAACTGAAACGGTATGGGGCTTATAGGTTAATCTTGCAATTAGGGATCACACTCGGCACCACCTGTAATACACGGATGGGCGTTGGCTGGGCTAACAGCTAGTGACATAGCGGTGTCGGCAATCTCCATTGTATACAACCTCCACGCTCGGAGGGATTCCCAAGCCGCTTTTCTTATACATCTAAATTCCTACCGGGTATCTACCACAGTGGACGCCAAACAAAAGCTTCCCCGCATTCACAATGGCATATTCGATCACTACCCTGGTGGTAGCATTCTTTGCTGGTCTCGTCATCTACAAAGTGTTAATTTACCCAGCGTTTCTCTCCCCGCTGTCAAAGATCCCCAGCGTACACTGGAGTGCTTCCTTCTCGCCGGTATGGATGCTATGGAGGCGATTCACAAGCCGGAACAATCGGACAATCCAGGCTGCACATGAGAAACTCGGTCCTATCGTTAGATTAGGACCATCAGAGATCTCGATCAACTGTGTCGAAGGAGGGATTAAGTCAGTATATGCTGGTGGATTTGAGAAGCATGACTGGTATCCACGAGTCTTCGCATCATTTGGGTTAGTATACCCAGATACTGATTCATAGTAAACAAAGTAGCTCACCATGAGAAATAGAACAGTGAGCATGTTCACCATGACAGGAAGCAAGACACATTCCGCTCGAAAAAGGATGTTGTCTAACATATACTCCAAATCGACTCTGCAAACATCTCCTCATATGCGAATAGTTTCAGATACAGTCATCTTCGATCGACTGCTGCCGATTCTTCAAGAAGCGGCAATGTCCGACAAACCCGTCGATGTGCATGATCTAAATCAGGGACTGACAATGGACTTCGTCTCCTCTTATCTATTTGGGCTGAAGAATGGCACTAATTACCTACAAGATGATTCGGTCCGCAAGCACTGGCTTCACCTTTACATGTGCCGAAAGCCATTTGAGTTTTATGCCCAGGAAGTTCCATATTTGGATGGGTGGTTGAGACGGATTGGTCTTCGCGTGATACCCAAATACTGCGATGAGGCCAATGCAATGCTTGATTCCTGGGCCCTGGACCTATGCGATAGGGCAGAGCAGATAATTTCATCTTCCGAGCCAGGCATCGAACCAACAGTCTACAAGCAGTTGAAACAATCTCTGGACAAGTATTCCACAAAGAACGGGGAAACAAAGCCAGACAAGGCCCAGCAGCGACTCGATATTGCTTGCGAGATGTATGACCAGCTGACTGCCGGCTTTGAAACCAGTGCTGTTGGCCTCACATATCTATTCTGGCAACTTTCCCGACACCAAGAAGTGCAAGACAAGCTTCGAGAGGAGCTACTCACTCTGAGTCCCCCCATTTCATACCCAAAGACAGCCGATCTCCCGCCAGCCAAGTCAATTGATAACCTGCCTCTGTTGGAAGCGATCGTAACAGAGACACTGAGACTTCATGCTCCGATCCCTGGCATTCAGCCTCGGGTGACGCCATCTCCATCATGCACTCTTGCCGGGTATGCAGACATTCCACCTAACACCAGAGTGAATGCGCAAGGATATTCACTGCACCGCAACCCTGAGGTATTCCCAGAGCCAGAAACCTGGCAGCCGAAGCGTTGGCTGGAAGCTGAAAATTCGCCGGCTAACCTGGAAGAGAAACGGCGGTGGTTCTGGGCGTTTGGGAGTGGAGGACGTATGTGTGTGGGAAGTAATCTTGCACTGCAAGGTATGGACTTGAAAATCCAAATCATTGAATTATGCTGATTTCCCCTTGACAGAGATGAAATTGGCCGTGGCTGCGATCTACACTAACTTCCGCACCACCATTATCGATGATGACAATATTGAAGCTATCGATGCTTACACTGTGAAACCGACAGGCGATAAACTGATCCTTAAGTTTGAGTCTGTCTGAGATATCACGGGAGGGATTTTGCAGGCAGCCATTGCTACAAGCAGTATGAAGTCAGTAGAATTAATTTGACGAACCAGGGTGTATCAATATTGCAGCTGAAAGAATACGCGACAAGATTAATGAGACTCCTATCTAATGATCAATGCGCGACGCACAGCCTGTCAATTAAGAATCTCCGTAAGACTAACACAGTCCTCTAGAGCTAAAGAGAGACATGCTATATTATCTGCCTCTCATAACATTTTCCCACGCACGCTGGCCGTGTTCATCCACCCAGAGAACCTTGATCTTACCGGTAGTAATGGACTCTCTATCTAACACGAAATTAAAAGTATGATCAATTGTTCTGAAAGGTGATTCCATATCCCACATAGTTGTATACTGTACATATGAGTAAAAGCCAACTCCCATAGCCTCTGATGCAAAATAAGCGGACCGAATCAGTAGATCCTGATGAAGGCCCGAGTATTCGCGTAATAATGTATCAAAAAGAAACCCAAAACTCCAGGACAACTCGCTTCTGCTGCCAAGTCCGGATAGACAATCGCGAACAATCCAGTGCAAAGAACATTTTAACCGAGAACACCATCCTTCTTCCGGGGGCCAACAACCTTGGGGTACATTCTCATGAGGTGGTAGTTGACGGTGTTCTTCTTTTGCTCCCTGGATTTCTGTATGCGCGCGGAACTCGTTAGGAGGATGTCGACAATAGGAGGAAAATAACGGTGGTGGTTTATAACGTACCGGTGCATCCATGCACTTGCGCAATTGAGCCTCGAGAGCAGCACAGCCCTCTGCGCCGTATCCAGCGGACGCCCAGCAGTCTGTTTGCAACGGAATATTGTCAGTAACAAATTCACGATGTCGAGATTCAAGGTACTTCGCGACACCGTCAAACTCGCCACGGAATAGGAAAATACATACTAAGCATAGACGACATCACTACCACGCAGGGGTTCTGCTCATTCTGATTCGGCCGGCGAACACGGAGGTGGTTGATGGTGTTGAGACGCATCGGGTTCAGCCGGGTGGAGAGGGAGCCTTTGGGTGCCATGGTGGGCAATTATTCGGTTCGTAGAACTGGCAACAGAGGTATCAATAGGAGCGAGAAGAGGCGAAATGCCTTGAAGCGACCGTGTGCGGGATTAACGATGGTAGACTGGCGCCGGCGACGGGATCTTCGACAAACAAAATCCGAAGTTTCGACTCCGCGGAGGTGGATGACTAATCTTGCTCACGCCCCCGAGTCTCTTTGTCTTTGTCTACCTCGAGGACTTGCCACCATAATAACAAGTCTTGTACTCTCTTTCTGATATCGCAAGCCTGTTAAAACATAAAAGGAGGCTATTGAGTATGCATGGAAAATACAGTCTGCCAACACAACTCCGAGGTGTTTATTCAACATGTACATTTAGAGCTCCGGTAGCTCCCACGTCTAGGCGGTTCTCCACAGCATGCCACCTGAATCAAACATCGCCCTCGCCTACGGCCAAGGTGGAGGATAAAGATGGCTCAAAAGAGGAAGAAAAAGATAGTCCTATGGGACGCCGTCTAGCTCAAATGACAGAAGACGCGATGCTTGAAGGTGGACGATCTGCACATCGCAACATCGAGCAAGCAGGGTTCTCGGAGGAGTTGAAAAATGAGCTCGCAGAGCGCATTGCTGCTACTTCATTCAGGAGTCAGCATGCTGCTGCTCATTCCATAGTCGAGATGCCCGTATGCGATCCTTATCAAACCTTATCATTCTCTACCGTCCAACAACCACTAACCTTCCCTTATCGCAGTCTGCCGCAGGACAGGGCACACGAGAGAACGCCGCCGCTCCTAAATGGACAGGAATAGAGCGTCTCGAGGACACGGCTCTGCGGATGCTAGACGACGCGAGCAAACCTATCCGAATGCCTTACAAAATCCCCAATCCTGTGAACCTCAAACCCACCCCGAAGCCCAAAAAGTCTCGCGGAGAGCGAATTGCAGAAGCGAAAGAGCGCACGTCTACTTACACACTGAGTCAGGCTCCTGGATTTTCCGAAGAGGAGCGCGAGGATATGCGCCGGGAGATGAGGGAGCAGTTGACACCTGGGGCGCATTCCATGCCAATCTCGATTTCGGGTCTTTCGTCGCTAGCAAATGAGCGAATCGAAGATGCAATTGCGCGTGGTCAATTTGAGAAGATACGTCGCGGGAAAGGCGTCAATACAAAGCCGGATCACAATGCGAGCAACCCATTCATTGATACAACCGAATATTTTATGAATAAGATCATCCAGCAGCAAGAAATTGTGCCGCCATGGATCGAGAAACAACAACAGGTTGGTTCGGAACTCAACCGATTCCGCGAACGTCTTCGAGCGGACTGGCGGAGACATGCTGCGATGTTGATTTCCAGCAAGGGTGGCTCCCTGGACGTACAAATGAAGCGGGCAAAAGCCTATGCTGCAGCTGAGACTCGGTTGGCAGACAGAGCGAAGTTGGAGGCTTCATTTAAAGAAGATACATCTGCCTCGGAGATCAACAGTGATGACCGGATAGTCTCCGAGCCGGAAAACTCCCAATCCCCTGAAATTAAGAATGATAGCGAGGAAATCTCGGAAGATCTAGCCCACCTTCCACCGTTGCGAGACCCAAGCTACCTCGCAATCGAGCGTTCTTATCACGAACTCGCCGTGAAACAAATCAACACCCTTACACGATCATACAACCTGCAAGCTCCACCCTCCGCCCACAAACCATATATCAACCTTGATCGAGAGCTCAACGCATGCTATGCCGCAGTAGCGCCTCAGTTAGCAGAGGAAATTAAGCGCCGAGCGACAGAGCGTGCGCGTCCAACACCAACCGTTCCGCCGGTTTCCTCCAGCAAGTTTGGGTCACTGGGGATGGCGCAGCCTGTCAAAATTCACGAAGAAGATCAGTCGAAGGGATATGGTATGAAACAGCTATGGCGCGATTTATTCACTTAATCTTGAAGACAGTAAACGGCACAACAGAAAACTCTCCACCCTTCCTCTATTCAACCTGTGCGGGGCCATCTCAGAGATAATAATACACCAATAATGTGACATAAAGTATGACGAGCGATGGCACTCTCAATAGAAAAGAAGACAAAGACGATCTTTTCAACGCCACCTCCCAGCCTCTCATCTTCCACAAAACTAGAAGTTGCCCTAACGAACTTGGATGGAAATCTTCAGTTCTCACGGCTCGTCGCTCTTCGCAGGTTGTAGCTTTCTTGGTTCCCACCACATGATTAAGGGGTAAACGACGAGACCGCTGATAATAGCACCAATGCCCCCCCAAAACCCATTATACAAAACGAAGCTCGCAGCATCCAGTTTCTTTGCGCCAGCAGCGATCGCCGGCAAGCCTAGCACCAAGCAGAGGATAGAGAGAACAAACACAACGTATGCTTGACCGAGGCGAATGCAAAGGTCACAGTTAGCCGTACGCCTGATCGCGACCCGATCTGGGAGAAGAAGTGATGCCTCCCGTATAGATTGCCACGTCCTGAAAGCCCTGCAGAGTCTGACCGTAAAATATATCCACAGACAGCCAGCGACTAAAAGGAATATAGCCCCAACCAAGCACGCCGCATCCGGGTGGATTCTCGTGTACATGCCCAGGTACCCATGATCCGGTAGCCAGTCCGTACAAGTACAAGTAGTCCCATTCATAGCCGACGAGGAAGGATTGGCAGTCGTGTTGCTGGCTTCGTCTCGTTTTTGCATGGGGATGATGAAATGATGCCACGGGATCTTTGGGAAGTCTCCCTTCGGCCAACCGGCTTGCTCGAGGTCGGAATCGCCGAAGGGTAAACGTGAGATGACTTCAACGTCGCCCACCCAGATCTCGTTGACGGCGTTGCCTTGGTCGTAGAAATGGTCTGACTTCACGCCGTGCACTGCGGAGATCTTATTGCCCATGGGTTCTTGGGACAAATTGGTAGATTTGTGTTATGAGATAAGTGATGAATGAGCCTTTACGAACGATAATGTTTCGAGGTATATAGACAGTGATGGATGGCGAGGATGAGTTCACTGGGGATCTTGCCCGGTTGGCCATCTATGGGTAGGCGACCCTGGAGTCATATCATTTGGAAGGATCGAAAGAGGGAAGCTGCGTCTGGGTGTCTCTTTTGCAGTGAGAGAGATGATTTGACTTTGTATCTATTCTCTCGGACTTTAACGAAGAAGCAACGGAAGTGTTCTCGTCTTTTTTTTGAAACTACGATGAAGTTGACGAGATATCTTATTTCGACTCAATGCTCGACAACATTGTATTATAGCTTAATTTTAAATTATAACAGAATAACAGCACGTATATGTAAGATTCGCCAAAGCTTTCTATTATAGATGATATGAATTGATTTTTACTATGTCGCCCTTGGGTATAGTATGCTGTTTGACGAGGATTGCCCCAACTAGAGATTCTAGGTAGTATATCCCAAGCGATAATATGCTTTAATTTCGATCAATTGAAATATGATTTGAGAATATTCTTATGTACGAAGTACTCCTTACCTAAATCACAAGTTGGAAAATGTTCTAAAATAACCCCAAAAGACCTTTTTTGGGAGTTAGGGTTCTCTCCTGTGAGTGGCCGCCGCCAAGTGACGATCGTGCATGAGGGCGCGTATTTGTGACCAACGACAGGCTGAAGACTTTGATTGTCTCTGCACTGACTTTCTCTTCACTTCATCACATCCTGTGCTTGCTTCTTATACGCGACCCCTCCCCCTGCCGCCCTCGTCACTTTTGGAAGATGTATCACCCCAAATCCTCGTGTGAGATTCGACGTTTCGAAATGTCGATCAGTGACTACTACTTTTAAAATAATTACTTTTCCTCTCCCATCTCTTTTATAATCCAGGCGGAAATGACTACTCCGATAGTCTTCTTTTTGCCCGTCCTTTTTACTCTCTTGATTGTACATAGTGCCCCGGTTGAGGCTCAGAACATCCAACGTGAATCCAAGTCGGCTGCGCCTCCAACACTGGACAAACCATTGCTCGCAATCCAAATTGGAAGCATTGTGGGAGCCTATGTGATCTTTGTCGCTCTCCTTCTAGCTCTACTTATCTTCGTTGGACGTCGTCTGCGTCGGACAGTTCAATCCTCCAACTATACGCTGCATATGGAAATTCTGAAGCCTGTCAGACCGCCTGCCAGCATGGATCCCAGCCCAGTCTCTCCAATGTCGCACAACCTCCCCAGTCCAAAGTCCAGTGGATTCAAGTCCTGGGGATCATTGAACAGGAGTGCCAGGCCCTCCCAACCATCCATGAACGGCAGTATGGTGACCATTGACGAGTCCATCGTCGCAAACGACCGACAACGAGCCCAGCATGATATGGAGATGCTCTATGCAGCAGTCATGGAACATGACGCTCAAAAAGCCTCTGGAGTTGATCTGTCCGTCCGTGAACAAGATCTCCAAGCACAATCACCAGACAGCCAACTCACAAACCCATTCACTGACCGTGCCTCCCACGTCTCAGATAACTCATTGGCACCATTGGCACCATTGAAGTCCCCCACCAAGGGATTCAACAGCTCGCGCTTGTCGAAGCTCTTCAACTCAGGCTCGCGCGCCAACCCAGACTCAAGCAAAGTGCGCTCGCCGCGTCTGGCTATCCGCAAAATGCCCATTTCCTCTCCACTAGCCTCGCCAGCAGTGGCCTCGCCTCAGGCGGCCTATATGCATGAAAACCCGCCTCTTTCCCCACGGATTTATAACCCTGGTCCTCCGCCAGTGGTGCCGCGGCTGCAGGCGAGCGAGGCAATTAAGCCCGCTCCCGGGCGTGCCCGTCCACCGGCGCCTCTAACCCTGAATACTCCCTCGCCTTCTTCCTCCATTCCATCCAACCTTCCTTTCCGTGAGGCGTACCCGCCGCAAAGTGCCCCGGCTACCAAGACTACTATCTTGGAACGGCCTGTGAAGAACCGGGCGGGTCCCGTTACGGGAATGGCTACGCCTTATAGTCCGTACATGCCGTTTACTCCCGTGACGCCCTTTACCCCCGGGCGCACGGTGACAAAACGACAACGGAAGCGGGAGGAGCGTGGGAATGGACTGCAAGTATTGAACGAAGATGATTTAGTCAAGGACGATGATGATATCTGGGGATGATGTGAATCCAGTATGAGAAATGAGTTAAATTGGGAAATCAGGCGTTGAAGTGCAAATTGGTTCTATACATCATACATCTACAAGGAAATGTTCACACATACATACACTGGCTGTATAATTCTATCTCAGAATGTAAAATCTACATCTACATCTTCTCCTTCAAATGCGTATTCCCCCTAACAATAGCCTCCGCAAAGTCCGACCTCGCCCCGGCCTTCTCAAGACTTAAAAGCGCCTGAATAGTACACCCCCTCGGCGAAGAAATACTCTCCCTAACAGCCGCCGGATGCTGACCAGACTCCAAAACAGCTGACAACCCTCTAATCCCCTGCAAAACCAACTCCATCGCATCCACCCTCTTAAATCCCTCCGCAACACATCCATCCAACAACCCCTCAATCGGCAACGTCAATGTCGCCATCGTCGCACCAACAAGCACAGTCGCCAGTCCAATGTGCTCTGGTCCTAGATACTTAACCGCACCGACATGTTTGAAAATCCACTCCGTGACCGCAACCATAGATTCCGGGATGGTCGACGCGGGAGTCTCGATGATCGTCATCGACTGTCCGAACTGCGCGCCCATGTTCGGGATAGCTTTCATGACATATGGTTGGTCTGTAGAGCTGGGATCTGGGTTGATGAGAAGGGTTAGGGTTGGGCATGTGGGGCCGGCGAGCATGCTGATGACGAGTTTGTTGGACAGGGCTTCGCGGACGCCTGGTTCGCCTAGGACGGCTTCGGCCATGAAGGGCTTGCAGCCGAGGATTATTATGTCGGATTCTTGCATTGTTTGGACGGTTTGGTTGGAGACGATTTTGATTAGTTGTTCGTGCTCCGGTGCGATTTTTGTTTGGAGACGGGCTGCCGAGGCTGCTGTTTTTGTACACGCGATGAAGCGGGTAATTGGATTCGGCGTGGTTTCGGTGCTTGAGCTTGAGAATGCGCTGTTTAGAAGGCCGTTTAGGACGGCGCCTCCCATGTTACCTTGGTGGGTTTGTTAGTGGTGGTTTACTATAGAGGGATGGGTGTGTTTACTTACCGCATCCGATGAATCCGAGGGTCTGTCCTGAGGCCATGATGTTCTATGTAGATACTGAGGGAGTTGGAAATTCAATTGTGTTCTGAGTTGAGGGGTTGGCTGTCTCTTTTGACTCATATGAATCTCGGGTGAGGTGTCCGACATTTGGCGGCAGCCTATGCCGACCTCGGGAGGTTTGTTCACGGGAGGTTTGTTCGTATAGTATTTTACTAGAATTAAGAGTATGGAACTTGGTCTTTTGCTGATATATTTGAGACGACAGGCCGATCATTCTTATCGAGCTATTCCCCATCATTATTTCTCCAGGTCTATATTGCAGAATACATGGGTTACCGGAATATCATCTAGACCTGGGTGGTCGAATATAAGTGAATTTCTCTTATCATTTCTCCTGGAGATTGTCTAGAATATGAGCATAATCTATTTAGTCCATTCAAAGCGAATACGAACACTTCAACTCGTTTAGATCCATCTGATTCTTGCCTCAGGCACCCAATCCACCCTAGAAGTGGCGTATAACAGATTTCCGCATTGGGCTTGGCTTTGCATCCCCGAATGCAGGAGGGATTTCCGTTATCATCTTCTATCTTTTATATTTTCTCCTCTTCTAACCGCATAGCTCTTCTATGCTTGTCAAAATCAGAGCCTATGACTTGAATTGTTCATTGCATTAATAACAGCTGTTGTTTTATCAACTACGCTGATCGCCCCCGCTATTCCCCCACCTCAGAAGTCGCAGTTGTCGTCATCCTCGGAGAAGGCGAGTTGCTATTTCCGACGCCCCGAGCTATTTCGGTCCCCTGCTTTTTACTCCATTAAGACTGGGCGTGAGAGAACTTGTGTGTACAATAATAGGCTGTAAGTGGTTTCACTCTTATCTTGGCAGAGGCGCGGTTAGGACTTGGCTAACTGGGCTGGACCTTGTTCGCAGATTTCAGACTTTCTCTTCCCTTCATCCCCCGCCACTCGCTCCTCGTTTACACTCCTCTCCTTTTTGTGTTTCCAGTACGAACCACCTACATGCCTCTCACCGTCCTCTCCCGATCCCAGCTCCGCGAGCTACTACATGCGCTCTCTCGCGACGAGATTCAGAACCTGCAGCGCAATCTCGCCGAGGCTCTACGAGAATACTCCAGTGGATCCCAGGAGAAAGGTTGCTCTGCAACTTATCAACCCCAGCGAACAGCCATTACTCGTCAGAATGGCACCACCACTATCTTCATGCCTGCCAGCACGGGCCAGACAATCGGCATCAAGATGATTTCCCTGCAGGACGGGGGCGATGCCGGCTGCAGTATTGAACGAGACACCGTGGATATGCAGGAGAAGGAACAGATCTCCTCGCGCAGACGAGGCTCTTTCCGAAACTCCGTGGCTTCCATATCCTCCGACATGAGTGATTTATCCGTGGGCTCAGAAGACAAAGAGGACAGTAACTCGATTAGTCCTGTCACCACCACCACTGGCAGCAGCACAGCAGGATTAAGCACGGATAACTCCACACTCCTCACTGGTTGTGTCAATCAGAAAAATGTCACCTCGAATATTTCCGGAACTCTTGGCGCTTGGCCGGGCGCAGGAACTCGTGACACATCGCCGCGCGGCAGTGTGACACTTCTAGATGGCGAAAGTTTGCCATTTGCTTTGATCAACGCACATGAACTGACCGCATTCCGCACAGCCTTGGCCTCGCTGATGATGTTCAACAGACGCAAGAAGGTGCGCACCATCGTTGTATTCGGAGCAGGTACCCAGGCTTACTGGCATATCCGCTTGGCGCTGGTTCTCCGCGGTGAGGATATCCGCCGGGTAATCATTGTGAACCGTTCATTCGATCGCGCAGCCAAGCTTTTGCAGGAAATCTACCTGCCCGAAAATATCCAATGGCGCGGAGACGTCAAGTTTTCCGCCGTTAGCACCGATTTCGGCGAGTATAGTCGCGTTTTGAAGGATCATGTGCGTAAAGCCGACGCGATCTTCTGTTGTACTCCCTCTCCGGAACCACTTTTCCCCGCGGAATACCTCACCTCAGGCGAAGGCCGTCAAAAGGGTCGCTTGATTTGTGCGATTGGATCATACAAGGCACACATGGCCGAGATTCACCCGGATATCCTCCGAGATGAGGTCAATGTGCAGCCCGCGCATCGTCATTGGCACAAACATATCCACCGTAGTGGTGTGATTGTAGTGGATAGTCTAGACGCGGCCATGAAAGAGGCGGGCGAGATCATTCAAGCCGGAATCAAGCCGAAACAGGTTGTTGAGTTGGGTGAGCTACTGATGGTTCGTGATGCCACTCGTGACGCGGCCACTGTGGATGAAGAAAAGAGTCTGCGTGAATGGTCACAGCGGGGGAATGTGATCTACAAATCGGTTGGGCTTGGACTGATGGATCTCGTGACTGGCGGAGATTTGGTGCGCTTGGCGCGGGAGCGGAAGTTGGGGACCACAGTGGAGGACTTTTAGGTCTTTTAACTGGACTTGGAGGACTTTGATTTGATACCTTTGCTTATTTTACTTTGCTTCTTATTGGCTAATCTTTAGGACTTGTCTTGTTCCAGGGAAATTTCGAAGATCAACAAGATCTGCCGGAGAGCCACCAATCCTTAATTGAGATAACAATACATGACATGAAATAATGCAGCTCTGCCTTGATCAGAGTATAGCATAACATTCTAAACAAGAAATAAGAACTGGAAATAAGAAACATAAATATATAGACACATAACATCTATATAGCTTGGAAGATTAAGTTAAAGAAGCTTGATACATAGTGAGTGGTAAGTGGGCTGATTGTCTGCGTCATCGGATATGTAACCTCGCGGGGAATCTTCCTTCTCTTTTTTTTTTTTTCTCTGAGCAATCTCCAGCTTCGCATTACCAATCCAGCTATTGGCATTGGATATCTTTCCTTTTAGCTGCTTTAGCTGCCTTAGTTGCTGTTGGTGCACGATTCTTCCCACCCCGCGCAGTGAGGGGCCAAAGCAGAGATTAAAAGTCTGCTACTCTATAAAGAGGTCTTGTGACTCCCCAGAATATCCCCAAGATATCAAAGATATCTTCGCCATGCGAAACAACGTCTGCTACTTGCCCAATGGCCTCACCTTCAACGTCTCGCCCGTTTTTGGTGGGGTCACCTTCAAGTCCGCCGATTTCAACGTCCAGCACAACTCCACCTTCCCTCCAGGCTGGACAATTATAATCCATACGGAGAAGCTTCCTAAGGAAAAAGAACAGAAAGATGAACCAGACCAGGACAAACCCCGCGATGATGAAGACAATTTCACCCGTTTCACCACCCCCACCTTGACCCGCGACTCCCTCTACATCTCGTATATAGTCAATCCACCAACAAGCGATTTCAAACCCGTGACTTCACCCACGCGCCAGATCGCCATGATGCTGTGGGCAACCCTATGGTGGTACTTCCACGAACCTGAACCAGACCTGCACGTCGAGACCGCCGCATCAAGCATGACCCCGCCCAACGGCCGACCAAAAGGTGTCTGGCGCATAAATATCAAGCGCGAAGGAATCTTCAAAGGCCGGAACCTGCTCCAGAAGCTCGAGCGCATGGGCCTAATAGCGACCGAAGACTCCTCCGTCGGTCTCCAGCCCATGGAAACCCGCGACTCAAGCAGCTGGTCCACGATGTTCGTAAGCCGACGCAGCTTCTGGCAACTCGACCCACGTCTATTCCTCTTTACCCTCACTCCAAGTCGAGGCCGTGCCTCGACACCTCCCTACCGGTCGCGGAATGCATCGCCCGCGCCCGACTGCGGTCCAGCTGTCGCAACGCCGCCGACTCTAGCGCCCATGGAAGCAACCTTCCACACGGCGAATATGGGTCCGTTCACCTCGGTAGGACCGTTCACGTCTGGTAGCCATCTACCAACATACTATCCGCCTCCACCGATGCAGTTCACCTCTACGAACGGGGTGCGACACCCTGTGCGCCCGAAACCGCCGCATCAGGGTGAGGTCTTCTACGTGCGCTACGTGCCAAGTTTGAGTCAGTATCTCTCGTTCCGCGTGGCGTTTGTGCCAATGTCGGCGCAGGGGACTGATAGTCGACCCGGGACGCCTGTTACCGCGTCTGTGACTAGTATCGCGCAGCATCTTACTGAGAATATCTGCTCTGATCTGGACACGCTGCACCGGTGGATGAATGTGCCTCGGGTGGAGGCGATGTGGGGTGAAGGCGGAGAGAAGTCTGTACAAGAGAAGTTCCTGTTGGCTAGTCTGACTAGCCGACACAGTTTCCCTGTTATCGGATGTTGGGACGGGAAGCCGTTTGGGTATTTTGAGATCTACTGGGTCAAGGAAGATCGGCTGGGACGACTTGTGGACCATGTGGATAATTACGATCGAGGAATTCATTTGCTCGTTGGGGAACAGGAGTTCCGGGGTGCGCATCGGGTTGCGGTTTGGTTGAGTGCGCTGGTGCACCATTGCTTCTTGTCGGATATGCGAACTGAATCTGTGGTGCTGGAGCCGCGGGTTGATAATATCAAGTGAGTTGTCGGTGCTATTGCTAATACGCAAAAAAAGGGAAATGAAGATGAATGTGCTAACTTCTTGCAGACTCATTAATTACCTCCAAGAAGCAGGCTTCTACAAAGAAGGCGAGGTCAGCTTCCCGCATAAGCACTCTGCCATTATGAGGATCAAGCGCGAGTACTGGGAAAGCCCGGCTCTATAGAGCTGTCATGGCGATTTGCATTGAGATGATCACGAGTAACGAAACAGCTAGCATTGCCTGGATTTTGACATTTCTTGTTATTTGACTCGCTTGAAACATTGCCTTGGCCATTTACTTTGGCCTACGTGTACCATGGGCGGCTTATCTCAATAGAACAACTGTTCTGGTTATTTTTTATTGGATTGTTTGACGTTCGATTCCACCTATGCTGTGTGCTCCATTTCCACCTATGCTTCATTTCGAAGGAGGAAGTCGATATTATTCGTAGAAACAGATACCCCTAACCCATATGAGCCTCAACGAGCCTATAGATGCATACCAGTCCCCAAGTAGCACCTAACTGTCCCGTAGAAGAAGCCCCAATCCCTTAGCACAACTGCCAGTGATCTTGAATTTTCAAAACTTGTACCTTCACTAGACGCACACAATGGAGCTTCCTCAACATTCATCCCTACACTGATACCATTTTCTCCCTCTAATAGGGTCTCTGAAAAAAGGCATATGCATTTCTTTGAGAGTATTCAGTGCCAGGACCACTTCATGGAGGGATCAGCTCCAAAGTTAAAGTATTCTTGAGTTCAGCTGGCAAATTTGTACTCTTTGCCTTGGAGAAACCCTCCAACGGAAACCGAGGCGAAAACACGGTGCATGGGGTGACCATCGCGTAAGAGGATTCCCAAATTTGGATGCTCTTTTTACGAAGACGGTAAAAGTTCTACATGGTCTCATTTGATGTCAATGTGATTCGAGAGGCTCTCAACAAAACTAGCACACCAACAGCAGTCCTGCCCCAAATAACCCGCAAATATTCCCACATACAGCAAAGACCAATACCTTGATACAGCTTCCAACGAATTTCTCCATTCAAAAAACTCATAAATTCGCTGAACGAAATCAAAATCTGTCTTCGAGGGTCCGTGGTGTAATCCAATAGTCGCTGTCTCATATGCCATGGGTAATAGGAGGAGGAAGACTTCCCAAATCAATCCCGGGATACCATCTCAGAATGTCCAGGGCTAGGCTCACTTCGTGGAGAAGGTCGGCTGCAAATTCGGGATACTCTCGAGCTGTGTCGGCAAATTTATGTGGACAGTGTTCAAGAAAGTCAGCAACACAGGAATTAGCCAAAGCACGGCGCACGGGATGGCCATAGTGTAAGAGAATTCCCGAAATAATGTGTTCCTCTCGTAGCAAGAAGTTTTGGTTGTAGGCTAGCTCGCCTGGATCCAGCTCGTAATCTGGATCCGGATTGTCAACAATGATTTCATTGATGTATTCGGCTGTTTGGGATTCTATTCCGGTAATCCCGTATCTGTCCGCAAGCCTTGCAAGCTCAATGGCGGCCCAAATGTGTTCTCTGGGGTCCTCGATATCAAACTTGACAACCCGAAGGTAAAGCCATTGAAAGAGTGCCTCAACGCTCCGCTTCGAGATAACGCCTTCCATTAGCTCTAGATCCACGGCTTGCTCTTGGGCCTCTAGAAAAGAGCCTTCGAACATGGCGGTGAAAACCGGAGACTCTGCGCAGAGGAGTGCTTTGGAGATTTCATATTCGCAAGTATCTTGGATTCGAACCTTGACGAGGGGACCGTGATAGAGTGGAAGCCTTCTAGAGAAGGAAGAGTTAGTGAACTTCCATTAGTCAGTGAGACTTTAGTAAAGGCTTACGCTGTTGCGAACGGCTCAGCACTTTTTTCAGATATCTCACTCATCTCTCGTCTCGACTTGATGGATTGATGGGATGAAAGGTTGGCTGAGGTGTGTGAATGAGACGATTGACGAATGTGCAGCTTCACAAGATAAATCTCCAATGTCGTTTGTTTGTTCTCTACGCGCGTCGACTACAAATATCAGCCGAACATAGTTCAGTGTACTCTTTTGACTAAGATGTTCTGTGGGAGTTTAGACGTTCAATTTAGACCTTCAATTTTCTACCTAGACTTCTTTCAAATTGATGTGTAGCAATTCCAATAGTTCCAATGCCCATCCGAGCGTTCATACCTCGAAGCTGCTCAAATCTTAGAGAAATACTTTAAACTCCATTACTTCTTTGCAGCCCAAGTCCAGCTCGACTTCTGGGGTAGGTAAATGATTTTATCGTCAAAAGGATCTGTGAAAGCGACCGTCTCGTTGAGCTTGTGGGCAGCATTCAAGGCTACTCGTACCTCCCGGAGAAGATCAGCTCCAAAGTTTGGGTAATCCTCAGCTTCCTGGGCAAATTTGTGGGTTTTGCCTCCAAGATACCCTGCAACACAAGCTGCTGCCAGGGTCTGGCGCACTGGATGTCCACGAGGCAAGGAACTCCCCGAAATGATATGCCTGGATGTGAGCCAAGGCCAAGTGACGTTGTCGAGGGGGACGTAGCGCTTGGTATTCTGGCTATCTAGGTAGCAAATGGCTTCCTTGATGTCTTGAGCCACCTTGGATTCCATCCCGGTGATCTGGTATTTGTCTGCTAGTCTTGCTAGCTCTATGGCAGCTGAAATGCGGTCTTCTTTGTCTTTGATATCCGACTCGATCTTCCGAGTGTAGAGTCACTTGATAAGTGCTTCGATACTCTGTTCGGACACGACGTCTTCCATTTCTTGTATGGTTGCAGTCTGCTCGTCGAATTCTCGGAACCCGGGCTTAAACATCGCTAAGAAAACAGGTGACTCTGTGCATAGAAGGTCCTTTGAAATCATATACTCTTTTTCGCTTGGCTGGAGTCGTATCTTGATAAGGGGACCGTGGTACAGCGGCAGCATCCTAGTAAATCAGTATTAGACACATCCTTTCCAGAGAGCCATCGTTTACCCACGCCGATGTAAAGTGCTTAGCACTTGTCTCAGATACTCCTGTCCACGTCGTTTCTCTAAATTTCCCACTCATTTGAAAGGTGACAGATTGATGATTGAAAAATGGCCGAAGATTATGAAGGAGAAGACCGACAAGTGATATGAGAGTGACTTTATATCCATGGTACTGATTTCCATTGTAATTTGTTTGTTATTTGCCATTTACTATGCAGTAAATACAAAATGCTAATGCAAACATCATTCATTCGCTGTACTATGTTGAACAAAGAGATGCTTACTCAGAATCCGGATGAATCACGACCTACAAATGTCAATCAACACGTTAGTAGGCATACCGACGGTGAAAAAAATGGCTTGAAGACCATCTTAAACCCGGATTCTAATGGAAAATAACCTCTATAGATTGGCAGCACAACTGCAGTACTTTCCCAGAGTCAATGTTTCGTGGATTATTAGTTAAAATCAGCCAAGAGGCCTGCCGCTGCCACATAACAGATCGTTTCTTGGGTTCAACCTTGGAAGTCTTAACGATCCTTGACTCAGCTCCCACCCGACAACGACCATGTTGAAAGGGACCCTTTAACTATTACTTTCCTGTCCTATAACAAGATCAACACTTAGCCTATAATACGTATAATATACCTTAAACCTACCCGAGGATACATAAATGCGGGGAAACCTAGGTACCACCTACCTAAATCTATCTTCCCCACGCCTCGGCGTTCCTCGGCCTCAAAGTATAAGCACAAACCCATATATCAACCTCCAACTCCACCCTCCAAATCCCCCAACTCAATATATCCTCCCTCCAAACACCAAAATGTCAATTCTAACAACCTGGACCCTCCACAAAACCACCAAAATAGCCCACCTAACGATCACCCGCCCCAAGAAACTAAACTCCCTAACAACCCCCCTCCTAACAACCCTAACCTCAACCCTGCACCAAATCTCCAAAACCCCCAATCTCCTCGCCATAACCCTAACCGGCGCGGGCCCGAAATCCTTCATAGGCGGCGCAGACCTAACGGAACTATCAACCCTACCAGACGCCGCCGCAGCACGGAAATTCATAACAAACGTCCACGGAGCATGCACCGCGATCCGAACGTGTCCCGTCCCTATTATAGCGCGGATTAACGGGTTCGCGCTTGGGGCAGGGTTGGAGATTGCTGCGGCTTGTGATTTGAGAGTTGCCGGGAGAGGATCGGTATTTGGGATGCCGGAGGTTTGTTTTTTCTTTCTTTCTTTCTTTTTTGTTACTTCTACTTTTACTTCTACGTTCTCCATGGATACTTCTATGATATTATATTGGAATGGGATGTGTGGATGGATAGGTTGAAAGTTGGTTTGGTATGTTGAAATGGGTAATATTAACATGCATCAGGTTCGTCTCGGTATCCCCTCCGTCGTTGAAGCAGCACTCCTACCCGGTTTAATTGGCTGGGGTCGTACAAGACAATTACTGTTACTTGGCGGGACGATTTCTGCTACGGAGGCGCTTAGCTGGGGGCTTGTTGAGAAGGTTGTTGCGGATGAGGATCTTGATGGTGCTGTTTTGGAGTGGGTTTCAGAGATAGGAAGGAATGGGCCTCTTGCTGTGCGTAGACAGAAGGCTTTGGTTTCGAGGTGGGAGGAGCTTTCGCTGGAGGGTGGGATTGAGGCTGGAATTGAGGCTTTTGGGGAGTGTTTTGTGGCTGGGGAAGATGGTGGGACGGAGCCTGGGAGGATGATGGGGGATTTCTTTAGGGAGAAAGAAGATGTTAAAGATAAGGTGAGGATTGAGGCTGAGAATAAGGATAAGGGTAAGGGTATTGGTAAGGGACACGGAAATGAGGGGTTAGGGTTGTGAAGGGGTATGCAATATACTATCCTGTATAGTTGCGCAAGGGGGTGTGGGGATTAGGTTCAATGTTCTTACTGTGACTACAACAAGGCTTATACATTACATTCTTACGGTTTACAGTATTATACGAGATCCAAAGTTGAGTAAGTTTCATTGTCCAAGTAGGAGGTAAGTACATCAAAAAGTACAACGTAGATCGCGAGCGCGAGCAAAAAGGTCTAAGCATAGGATAGTATCCAGTGGAAAACGAGTGAAGTGTAAGACAGGCATAAGAGATACCAGAGATACAAACGCCGAATGCGAGAGGCAGATGCAGTAGCGAGTGGAAGAGATGAAAGACGAAAGACGAAAGGAAAGCAGAGAGGATGACAACTCTGGTCGGAATCAAGCTCATACGATGTAGGGTGACGTATGCGAACATCGAGAGACAGGTGTGAGCGTGGGGTATTGGCAGATGTGCGTATCAACGGGGTGAACAGCTTTTTCAAAAGCAGCAATATGGAAATATGAAAAGGAAATAAAAAGTCATATGGGAATGTGAGTTGAACCAGGTGATCAGGAGATAGGAAAAATGAGAGATGCAGGAATAGCATCGGGTGATTAAGTAAAAGATCGGATTGCTAAAGAAAAAAGAAATCGAGAACCGGCTCGATTTAGTGAGATCGACGACCGCCCATGTAAGAGCCTGTAGCGGAAGCGAGGAAGCGAGCCACGAATCCACCGCTGTGTGCGTGGCTGCTGGTCTTCAGCTTCTTGGATGGCTGGCGGATAGGTTCAAAGGACTTCTTGGATTCGAGGTGGGGGACGTTGACATAGCCGTAGTTCAAAGAGAGGGATGCAGGGCTGCGGGACGAGTCCGAAAGCATGAGGTCGTCGGCACCCTGGGAGGAAACCGTGCTGATAGAAGCTGGTGTGCCTCTTGAGCTTGGTGCGACGCTGGAAGAGCGCGAGCAGAGAGAGTTGAGCGTCTCAGCGTGGGAGAGGGCTGGAACGTCGCGGACGGATGGTGGGGAGACAGAGCGGTTGATTCTACTGGGGGATGCACGCTGACGCTGATAAGGGTTGTAGCGATCGTGCTCTGCAACATGTTGAGTTGCGTAGTGGGTGTTGTGCATTGTTGGGCACGAGACGTGGGTGGGGAGACGGCGGATGGAGTTGTCGTTTGCCCGACGGGTCTCACCGCGGGCTTCCAGCTTTTGGCGGCGGAGACGGCTGGCTAGCAGATCAGCTGAGGCGTGAAGACGGCGCCTGGGGATTGGTTAGTGAGTGTTATGATAAAAAGCGAGAGAATGGGATACCATACCATTCGCGGTGTTGTTGTTGTTTGTGGAGGTATTCCTCTTCGGCGAGACGCTCTTGCTCTTGAGCGATGAGACGCTGACGGTAGGGGACGAGGAAGGGCTCGAGGTAAGTGAAAAGGTCTTGCTCGGTGATGCGCAGGTCCCAATCAAGTAGGAAGAGGAGCTGGCGTTCCATGAGGTTGACCTCGGGGAGGGAGAAGCCGAAGCTTTCGAACCCTTTCACTGCGGTGTAACGGGCCCAGTGTTTGTTCTTGGGGCTCGAGTCGTTGAGGTTCTTTGCGGCGAGGATGAGTGAAGCCAGGAAGATGCGGTGGACAGTGCAGCGCATGCCCTTTGCGACTGGTGGTAGGCGCGAACGAAGACGACCAAGGTAGACGAGACAGCTCATGAGAGTGGGTACCTGCACCTGCGACCGGGCGACCAGTGAGGCGATGAAGGCCTCGATTGAGGGCAGGTCAGGTAGGTTAGAGGGTTCCATTGGGGGAGTGGATGGTGGTGTAGGTTGGCCATTCTGGTTGACGGTGTTGGTCACATGCGCCTCACAGCGGATGACCTGGGCAGCTTGTTGAGCGAGGTGTGACACCATTTCGCGAGTGACTCGGGTAGTGACGAACTCATCGAGAGCCGCTCGGTTGAGTGACAATGAATCCATATTGTGAAAGAGTGATATATGGTAGAGGGATATGATAGAGAGAGGTTGTCGGAGAAGACCGGTCGAGGATGGGAATTAAGTATGTCGACAAGCAGGCAGCGATCAAAGAATTTGGCCTGGTAATGAATTGTCTCGGACAATCCAATTCAAGGACCTTTGGGCAAAACGAGACAATGGTCTTTGTGTGTTTGCGAGGGTATCAGATGAAAGTCGACACAAAGTGAAGCAGCGAAAATCAGATCAAAGAAACAAACACAGGTCGAGAGAAAATTGAATTCCTGACCAGCAGGATAACTTTCAGATCAAGTACTCTTTTCTTGGTAAGAAAAAAGAATGTTGCAGTAAGGATGGGATAGTTGGGGTTGTCGTGTCAACGCCTATCGATAGCCCTAACTGAGAGCTTCACGCAAAACTGAGACCCGCGACGGATATTTATTCGAGACACAATCCACAGTTCACTGCAAGTAGGCAATAAATTGGAAATAATGTTTCTGACAGGAAATTATTATAGAAAAGTGAAAAGTTGAAAAGATGAAAGCAAAAGAGAATTATTAAAAGGAAAGGATGACGACGTTGGGCATGTGGATGAATCTCGTGAAGAATCTGGGCGGAATACCTGTCTAGTTATAGTATCTGGTATGCGCCAGAGTGGGAGTAGAGGGGGGAATACGGGTGTTTCCCCTGCAAGGACGTGTCATCCAGTTAGAAGACAGAAGGAATAGGCCAAGCACAGGGGTAGAATTGAATGAACCTGCATAGTTGGATCTTAGATGTTCCAACCTTTTGGCGCGCGGAGTCTGAGACGAGAGAAAGTGAGCTGATTTGTCGAGAGAAC